TCTCTCTCTCTCTCTCTCTCTCTCTCTCTCTCTCTCTCTCTGCTCTCCTCGCTGCTCGTGCCCGTGCGATGGGCGGTGTGCCTTCTTTTTCCGCTTCACTTGAGAAGGGACGACTTCGGAGGCATCGGTCTGGACGGGATGAACCTAGTCGAGGCAATGGCGGAAGCAATGGACGACCTTCGCATAGACAACAACAACAACAATCAGGTCCACGATCAGTTACCGCCGCCACTGCAGGAACCACAACAGCTGGGGCCACTGCCTGGGCACGCACCTGATCGCAGAGCAAATCAAGGCCACCGAGGGGGCCGGGTTGGAGGGGTTGGAGATGCCGTTGCGCCTGCTGCTGCCGCTGACGCCGCCGCCGCCGGGCGCGGGGCGAGAGCGGCAGAACCCCCGACCGGTGGCGGTCGCCCGAACAACCGCGGGGTCGGCGAGGCCCATCAAGGCGAGGCTTTGGCTGCGATAGGGGAGCGAAGGTCAGCGGCTCCGCGGGAAGCAGAGAGCGGGGGGGCTTCGCCGGCCCCCCCTGCTGACGGTTCTGCTCGCGATGCCGATCATGATCGCCGAATTGGCAACGAAAGCACGGTTGGTGGGGGCGGCGGCGGTGGTGCCCATCGTGGCGTATCTGCGGAGGGGTTGGCAACCGAAGAGATAAATCTCCCGAGGGACGGCGAGCGCGTATCGGTACCCGAAGTGGCAGAATCAGCGGCGGCGGCGGCGGAGCAGCGGAATTTTGCGCAGCCCCGTTTCCGCCGGAACGTAGACCCGATGGCCTACGACACCGACGACGCGGAAGGCGAGGAGGAAGAAGCGGGGCCGGGCGGCACGTTCCTGGGGCTCAAGTACAGAGCGCCGACCCCGCCCAGAAAGGTCCGCATCGAGGACGACGACGCGACATCGAGCAAGGATGTTGCCAGTGCTTCTGCTGCTGACCCTGCTGATCCTGCTGCTGCTGATCCTGCGGGCGCACGGATCACCGCGCGGACGACCAGGGAGGAGGCCAAGGGCGAGCAGCACAGTCTCGGACGCGTAGATGGAGCGGCCACAAGGGTGGGGTTCTCGAGAGGACCGGCAGCGGCGGCGGCGGCAGCGGCGGCTGAAGCGCGCGCGAAAGCAGGAGCCGTGGGTGCAACGGCGGCGGCGGCGGTGGCGCCGATGCCGAAAATAGACGAGGAAGGCGACGACGACAACGACGATAACGGCGACGACGCTGCTGCTCTCCGGGCAGGTGCGAACAACGCCGAGCCGAGGGTAAGGGCGGACGGAGGAGGAGGAGGAAACGGAGGTCGCTACGGAGGTGACGCACCCCCTAGACCGCCAACGCCGCCGCTACCGCCGCCGGAGAACGCCGAGCCGGCGGTGGCGGGAGCTGGAGCGGGAGCGGGGGTCGGGCCGGTACCGAGGGTCCCGCTGGCGGCGGACGAGGAAGAGGACCCGGAAGATGACCTGAACGACGAGTTTCTCGACGGGGATATGGACGTGCACATGGCCATCGACGAGCTGCTGGGGATCCGGGGCCCCGTGACCATGCTGCTCAGGAATGTGCTGTGGCTGCTGGCGTTTCACGGGGCATACCTCGGGCTGTTCGCCTTCTTCCCGTTCTCGATCGGCGCAAGGTTTGTTGTGTCTTGGCTTGTTGGGTGGGGTGTACATGCTTGCCGCGTTTTGTTGGGGGTTTTTTTGTTTCGGGTGTCGCGCCGGTCTTGCCGTGTGGCACGGCTCGTGCGGCGTGCCCGTTCCACGTGGTCCAGTTTCTTTCCGGTGTGTGCGTCACGTGAAATTCTTCGTGTTTTTGTCATGTTATCTCTTTTGTGCACAAACTGTTGGCGTTGTTGGCAAATGTTTCACTTCGGGCGCAGGCGTTGGCGCCGCTGGGGCTGCCAAAGTCGCCGCCGCCGCCGCCGCCGCCGCCGCCGCCGGCCCTACCTGCCGTGGGTTCCAGTTCGTCGCACGATTACCTTGCATCCTTTGCTTCCGTTCGTTGTTGTTCTTTTCGCCTCCAGCGTGACTCACGCCGTGTCCAAGTACCTGGACCCTCACGTGCTCGCCAGTCTCGGCGGTCGGTCGGAGTTGTACCCGGCCCTCAGGGATGTACTGCAGGTAAATATAGCAATTGTTCCAATTTTTTTTCTACGGAAGAGGAAAAACGGAGTTGTTAGGTCTCAAGTATGCCGTGCGGGTAAAATCACGTCTTGAGCGTGAGAGACAGACGGGAGAGAGAGAGAGAGAGAGAGAGAGATAGAGAGGCGGGAAGGCAGGCATGCAGCAACGATCCCAATGTGATGCCCCCGCCACCCAGATACGCCCTTGTACGTGGATTTTGCGCACAAGTAACGGCGTCGTCAGGCGCATGTTTGGGGGTTGGATGCGAGGGCGTCATTTTCCTGATCCTCCCTCCCCCCCCCGGTGTATGACCCAAAGGGGTGGTACGAGCTGGCCACCTCTTCCGAGGAGCAGGAGAACACGCTCAGGCTCCCGGACCTGGCGACCATCTGCCTCGGGTACATGGTCATGTCGTCGATGGTCTTCATGTGGAGGGGCATCATCAACGCCATCTCCAACCGCACCAACACGCAGATCCTGCTGCGCGCCAAGAAGGCCATGAGGGTTATTGCCGCGGTGGTCAAGGTGTGTTCGCCGGGTTTTTTTTGTTGTGATGTTTTGTGTTGCGGCGATCGTTACACTACATCGGGCGGGTGGCATCTATGTGCTGGTGCCGAAAGAGCGAGACACACTTCCACGGATGAACGGGAGTAAAGGGGCGGATGCGGCTACTAGTCCACGTGTTAGCAGTCTGCGTACCACCCTCAGAATCCCCACTGTATCCTCCCCACCCAATCCTTCTCACCCCGGCTCAATGGGTTCTTTTCTCCTGGCAATGATTTGCCGCGGACGGGTCGTTAAACGATTCTGTTTAGGTGGGGCTCCTGCTCTCCCTCAAGATGCTGCTGCTGCCCCTGCTGTTGGGGGGTTGTCTGGACGCCACGACCCTACCACTGTTCGGGTGCACCGGCGAGGCAAGGGTCCGCTTCATGGCGCAGCACCTCGTGGGGTCGTTGCTCCTGCACTGGGTGAGTGACGAGCGTGCGTGCGTGTGCGTGCTCCGTGACGGCGGGTACGCTTGTTTTTGTATTGAGGACGGCAGAGGGGCAGAGACGCCCATGTCAGCAATAGATTTCGTTTTTTTGGGGGTAGTCGAGAGGCTTAGTGGCGGAGACCGCTCGTTGGTTCCTCGTCGACTGCAGATGCGCTCGTGTGAGAATCATGGCACGTGATCCGTGTGAATCATTCACATGATACCACGGATAAAAACTCGTGGGCGGCACCCCCCCCCCCCCCCCCCCCCCCCCCCCCCCCCCCCCCCCCCCCCCCCCCCCCCCCCCCCCCCCCCCCCCC